TCCCTCCTAAACTTCCCAGGCTATGGTAAATTCCCTGAGACTCAAGAAGAATTTCTAGCACCCTCTAGGGAGAATCAGACTGGCATATTTGACAAGCCTTCTCATCTCCTTTCATTTTATGCTGTGACATGAAACTTGGGTGTTGCAATCAATACTTATCTGCTTTGCACTAGACTGGTTCTTCTTATGCTGTGATTACCACTGTAACAACTAAGCTCTTTTTCTGAGACAAAGTGGGTTTCTTTAGACTGTCAGGTGGAATTTGGAAGAATACAGAGTGTTTTCTTCTCCATCAAGTGGCCTTGCTGGGCTGAAGCCAAGGAAGTTAGATCCAGAATGGGATACCTAGTGGCTTTATACAAGTTTCATACTCTGTAGCTTCTCTAGGAAAACAAAATTGCTTGTTCTTCAGCTGGTAATTCAATCCCTCAACTTTAGCCAATTTAGCTTTGTCTCCCTGTCACCAGCTCTCAGGCTGCCATCAGCTTGGGTATTAAAGGCATTTGCCAGAGCACCCATGAGCAAGGCCCTTGGAAAAGTTTCAATCACTGATGCTTTGTGGCAAAGAAACAGAAACACCAATGGTACTGCTCTTGTGAACTCAAGTACAAGCTTCTCAGCACAGGAGATGGCTTTTTCTTCTGCATTTGCCTGCCCATGCACAGCAAAAAGATTGGCAGTGAGATCTTTTGTAATCCAAAGACCTTGTAACAACTGTTCATGTTCATGTTGCTGCAAACTGATTCACAAGAGGCCACACTTTAGGGCTTCCCTTGAGAGTTTATTGGTAAGGATATGAATGTACATTAATTTTTCTTCTTCCCAGAAAGCCCTTTTTCAGTCAATCAGGCACCTAGCTTGGCTCTGAATAAGACACAGAGATGAGAAATGATAAATTATACTCTGGACTGTGATCTCAGCAGCTTACAGGAGGGAAAAGACACATTAGCCTGAATAAACATAAGTCAGTAGAGACACTGAGTAAAACTAAGATGGGCTTGAAAGCAGGCATTGGCTACCATCCCTGACCTATTTTACTGCACTATTTTCTTGACTGTGTTGGTTGTTATCCTGGTGCAAGGTACAGGGGAAAAAGAGCTCCTTCTAACATAACCATCCCCAGAAGGGTAGGCTGCCTGTTGTATCCCTCACAGACCATGTAAGTGTGATAAGTGATAAATGGTTCTGTTTTGGGACCTCATGCAGGATGTGGTGTAGCTACGGGATATTTGAGGTTATTGCATTCAGTGACAAAAAATAATCTATGCCTTTGTGGGGCATGAATTAGGCAGGTTATGAGCTAATATTAAGGAGAGTAAACCAATAGGGTACCACCCAGTCTTGGTACAAAGAATCTGTGTTTTGTCCCCTTCAAGAGATGAGACTATGGAGTGTTCCCTAGTGAAGTATCCCTAAGGCTGACAACTGGTAATTCATGCAGGCTGCATAGGGCATCATCAATACTCACCCCTGCCCTAACTGAGCACATCATAGTTTCCTGACAAATCCAGTTCAGACCTTCAGCTTTTTCTATGGCTTACCATCACAAACCAGGGTGGCAAAAGTCATCAGGTAGCCTGCAGCTTGAATCACAGGAATGGGATCAGACTATGTTCAGAGAGGGATGTGCTGGCCTCCTGCTGGAAGGTGCAGGTCAGTGATCCCAGGAAAGAGCTCTGCTGGCTGGAGGAGAGAGCTAATGAAGCTGTTTGTGCTCCCAGGCAATGCATGTTAATTTTCCACAACTACTCTGACCATGTTGCCAATGTCCTACAGAACAATAGCCTGTCAGGTGAAAAAGAAATGGATCTGGGTGACTCTCTCCACCTGCTCCGTCAAAATACAATCTGCCAATCATCTGAAGAGGAATGTAAGAGGAGAGCAAGGACTTGCATCGTTCCAAGGAATGTCATTCCTGCTTTCATCAAATTAAAGCTGATCTGTATTGTCATTTACCATTGAATTATTAAAGTATTTTTCCCCTTACCTGCCTTCCTCCTAGGTGTCAGTGTTACAGTCATCAACCTCAGTCACACTTTAGCTTTCTCACAGGGTTAGGAGAGGTTTTTTCCTGTGGGCTGCTTGAGGGCATCAGGACTTACAGTTGAAGTGAGAAAAATGTCTGGTTCAACTGCCCACTGAAGAACCAGAAGAGGAAGCAACACAACAGTTTATAAATCAATTTTTTATCTTCCCAGATAGGCAGATAACTAAGTTATGATTGCATTATTTAAATGAACTATTACATGCATTCCTACCTTCTCTGCCTAAGTACCAACACTACCTTCCCTTGCATTTGTATCTTCCATAGCCAACAAGAATTTCATAATTTCTGTGGTCCTAACCAAGGTAATTAGCCAACAAACTCTATTGATAAAGTCAATGAATGAAAGAAACAGCAGACAAAGTTGCTAATGAACTCCTTGAGGAGAGTACACAAAGAAGAAGTAATTTGGTCCTCTTGCCCCCTGAAACAGGTTTAATTTCACTACCTGGCCATTCAAAACCTCCCACACAGGCTCAATAACACTCTTTCTTCCAGTTCTGCAGTCACAAGTTTAACCATGAAAAAAAATTGAAGGAGAGAGATATATTTTAGAAACCTTTACAATGGTCTAAAATAGCTCTTTGATGCATAGCAGATGTCTTCAAAACTCGCATAAATGGAGCCCAAATGCCTTGCAGTTCTGGAAAAGGGAGATTCCAAGATAAGACATGTTTCCAACTGCAGCAGCTCTGGAAGGGATTTGGAATTTATATTAATTGTCAACCTCAAGGAAAACATTTAAAAGAAGTCCTTCTGTCTCCCATTTTGAGACAAGTGTCTTACTGGGCTTTATGCTGCTCAAAGACCTGATGTCTGCCTGAAAGCAGTTCCTCTGTATCTCTAAAAGACAGCAGATGGGTTCAGATGGGGAAAAAGAAAGAACCACAATCAGTAACACATGGAGGTGACAGACTGAGGACTGCCTGCCCTTCATCATAACCTCTAGTTTGTTACACAGGAGGTGCTTGGCAGGCTTCATTATAGGGAGGAGGACTGAGGAGGGATTGGAAAAGAGTCAGTGAGATGGTGCTGAGGGATGCTAACAAGGCAACACCTCTGAGACACGCAGCATGGGAGGAAAAATATGAAGGGACATGCTGGAAAACTGAACAACAGAGCCAAGGAAACTGTCCCCATGGTCACAGTAAGGATGGGATTCTTCAATTCTGTTGCTAACTGTGGGGATAGCCAGAGTGAGGATTTGTTCTGTTGAGACTTTTGTAAAAAGGAAAAAAAAAAAAAAAAAAAAAAAAATCTGATACAGTGAAGTAGGTGGTACAAATGAAAAACTCCCACAAAGCAGCAACAGTAAAAATGATGAGTCAAGACAAGAATCTTCTAACTGCTCTGAAGAATGCATCTCATGTGTTCCAGGTCTTAGATTTCATGAAGATTTAACACCCTTAACTCAGTGTTAGACTGTGCTCAGAGAGTGGCTAGGGAGTACCTTTTAGTTGGATACAAGAAAGAGAACTGAAAAACTGATGCAGCAGTAATATGGAAGATTTGATATGAAGCAGACCTTAAGAACAGAAATACCAGAGCTAGAAGATTCTATATATGTAATTAAAGATGAAAAAAATAAGTTATCTTCTCCTATGAATACAAATGGCATGGTCATACTTAATTCTGAAAAAAACCAGAAGAGAAATTCAGGTAGTGATGATAATACCACAGAGGACTAGTGTTCCCCTAATCAGCCTTGCTCTCACCTCTTCCTGGAAGGCTTTCCCCATCTTTTTTTTTCTCTTGGTATTGCAAGAAATGGGCCAGAAATTCAGATTGCATATCTAGTTTTCATATACATGAAAGCTCAGGAGAACTTTGGTTTGACTGAAGAGACAAGACAGGAAATCTAAGTAACCCCAATCTCAACCACAGGCTCCAAATCCAGGGGGTTCTGGATGTAGCCCTTAGATTAAGCTCTGTTCCAATGTGTCATTCTACCTTTCTCTCTCCAACTTTATTTCTGAAAGACTCTCCCCTTTTCTGGCTGCTGAACTGCAGTAGAAAGCTGGACTGTCTGTGGCACATGCAGAATGTTTGTTCTCTGCCTTCCTCAAATCCTCTTTAACCCTTTACATATATGGGAATATCACAGAAGATCATTCATATGGGGCTAATCAATGTTTTCCCCAGGCATTTTAGATTAATGAGTATCTGATAGGAAAAAAAGTCAGCTAAAGAGTTTTTCTCTCTTCCAAGGACATGATACGGATGGGATAGAAACCTACCTCTTGTTATCCTACTGTTAAATCTTTAGGGGTTGGAGGTTTCCTTGCAAACCAAGCTGCTAACCACACAGAGTCTGGCTACTAAAAAGATACTCTCCTCCCAACCTTGCCACATGCTTGAGCATGGAGAGCACAGTTAGATAGCAGAACAAAGACAGTGAGATCTCCTTTATTCTGTTACCATTCTGCTCTTCACTCACCTTGAAGATCAATTGCCTTCTTTACTCAATTCAGAAGACACAAGATTTCTGGCTGTCTGCCAAAGTGGGGAGCAGTATGAAATAAACTGGGCCACTGTTTGCCTCTCCCTTTTAAGGCAAATCAGTAGGAAGCAAATCCCATGGTTTTCAGAAAGAACCTCTTTTATACAGTGTCTCAACAGAAATCCTTTTCCCTCAGTCTAGCACCAGCAGCATTTCATCTCCATCACTGTGCTGTGCATTACCAGCAGTAGAGACTGGGACAACTAGATGAAGACCTAAGCTAATAAAATTACAGGTCCAATTCTACAGAGCATCTATTGAAGTAATTTCATTTGTTCACTTGGAAAACCTGGTTATTGTGCCTGGGAATTCACACTGCAAAACAAGATTGAAGTACACTTAAGATTCTTGCCACTTTTCTAGGGCTGCCTATATTGCTCCTGAAATTTTCTTTGATGCTGGAAGAGAAGGGAACTACTGTACAGTTCACAAATTGAATCCAGCTGGATTTCTTACCTGTAGGAGTGAGGTGCCTCCAGGTGATGACAGGCTCAGGACGCCCATTTGCCATGCAAACCAGGGTCACATTGCTGCCCTCATTCACGGTGATGTCCGAGGAGATATTGGAGATCTTTGGTGGAACTGTGAAGACAAAAGAAAGTTGGACCTTGTTATAAGCAGAATTATGGAGGGCAGCTTACCTGGCTTAATCATCTACCAACCTATTAACCAGAGCCAGCCACAAACTCATCTCACAGGCTGCACCCCTCTCACTACTAGCTGGGTTTCTGAAATGACATCAGAGTAGTATGTACTGGTGTGTAGTTTGTATTTTAAGGGTCTACAGCAAGAAACAGCCTGTGCTGCAACTGCAATGCTTTGTGTTTGGACAAGTTTGGGGGTATTCATAAAATGACCTCTCAGAACTTGCCTGCCTACCTCAAAGTTGCCTGGAAGGGATCAGCAGGCTCTAAGTATCAGCCCAGCTACATTTTACACTCCAGAGAGTCCCAGATGCAGTCCTACATCCTCCTGCAGGATGCCAGGCTTCAAGGCACTGACTCAAAGGGTGCATTAGTTACTGGTTTCTGTGACACCTTTCAGCCAAGAGGGATCCCCCATGGGCTACCTGCAGTAGTTAGCTTCTGGATGACTGCACCGCACATGGCAGACCACCAAAGGCACGGCAGAATCTTTAAGATTCACAAGGTCAGCCATGACTTGGTCATTCAAGATCCTTAAAAACATTCCAGGCTGAGTTTGTGTCATAGCTCCAGAGTGACCATGAACTTGGACCTGAACAGGCACTTCCAGGTGTGGAGTGTGCCAGCTGTTGCAGTCTTTCTTCTCTCACATCCATGTCTGGCTTCCATGCTTCACACCCCATGTCAGGCAGTGAGGAATTTTCACTAAAAAGGAATCCTCTTTTTTTTTTTTTTTTTTTTAATATATTTTCAGCTTCCAAATTTGTGTGTAGTGAGGAATGAAACCACATCATTTTCTGCTTTGCTAACCACAGAGTAAACAGACAGCAGCTTCCTCGTCCCCCTCCCTGGCAGGAGTGGCTGATGGTCCTTTTGAGGCAACACTATCTATAAGCTAGGTGGGGAAAAGGAAATGAAGCCTGAAAGAGAGCAACTCACTACTTCCAGCTGTGCTGCTGGGTTCACAGGAATGTTGTTTACAACTCACAGCTCATTAGCCCCTCTCTGCAGGTCCCAAACTCATGGACAACATTTGAGTATCTATGACCATGGGAGCCCCTTGAAGGAAGAGAACCTGTCGAGCAAGTGAAGCAGACATCTATTTTCCAACAGGTTCACTCCCCCAGGCAAGGAGGGATTTAAGCCAGGCTCACTGGGGAAGGATTGCTGTGATCTGTGAACAAGTGACAATGCAGAGGGCAGTGAGGGAGCAGCTGGGGGGCAACACAATGGGGGAAAGCTTTTGCATGCCTTGTGAAAACAGGACAGCTGGGGGCCCACCTCAAATGCCTGTGCAGCAGTGTAAGTAGCATGGTGGAAAAACAGGAGGAATCAGATGTTCACACGGATTCAAGTGGGATGCATGTGAAAAACTGTTGGGATGACAGAGCTGGGGTAAGACAGCTCTTAGGACTAGCCTGTCACTCTATACAGGCTTTCTAAGGAAGACAGGCGGGGAAGGAGAGGAAAGGAAATGCAAAGCACTGGCTGGCATGTACCCAGCTCTGGATGGTGAACTAGCTCAGGTGTAAGCATCAGAGGGTATCACAGTGCCTTGGTTAAGAAGAGGAGATACTGCTTTAGACAGGTAGAATAAGCCTCACAGTAACAGTCCCTCTTTAGGCACCAACCACCTTGATATTTTCTGGAAGGGAGAAAGTGCTAGGCTCAAGCAGTTCAGGATACGTGGGGGTCCTTCAGGTTCAGCATGAGTTAGCAGTATGCCCTTGCAGCAAAGAAGAAGCGTCCTGGGTTGTATTAGCAAGAGTGTAATCCTCCAAGTGGAGAGAAGAGTGTAAAACCCTTTACATGGTGCTTGTTAGACAGCATCTCAGGCACTAGATCAGTGTTGGGCTCCCCAGTACAAGAAGGCCATTGACACCCTGGAGCTAATCCACTGGAAGGCTCCCAAGATGGTCAGAGGGCTACAGCACATGACTTCCCAGGTGGAGGGTCTAAGAGAGATGGGTCTGTTCAGTCTGAAGAGAAGGCTGAGGGAGATCTTATTGCTCTCTACAAAAAGTGAGTGGGAACGTGGAGAAAAGAGACTTTTCTCAGAGGTGCACAGTGAACACTAAAAAGCAGCTAACGTGAGCTGCAATGTAAGGAAGATTCTATCTCAAAATAAGGAAAAAGCTTTTAGTTTCAAAAAGTCAAGACAGGAAAGGGCTCCTCAGAGAGGGGATAGAAACTCAGCCCTGGAGATACAGAAAACTCACCTCCTTTCTTTCCCAGTGGATGAGGGGAATACCCTGTCCCATGGCTCAGGACAGACCTGCACATTGTTCCAGCCAGCAGATCTGCAGGCTGGCAGAGCCCTGAAAGTTCTGGTGCCAAAATCCAAACTGCTACTCTTACTTACTGGGAACAAAGCAATTTGGAGGGCCACCTCAGACTTGATAGAAGACCAACATGCACAGGAGAGGAGGGGTGGGCTTAGCCTGGGAAAGAACATCAGAGCTGCTATTTCTGCAAAAGTTGTGGCCCAGGTGTTGCCCACGTGTGGCCCAGATGTCACCTGGACAGAACACCTGGGCCACAAGGACAGTGACTTTGGAGCACCCTCAGCACAAGTTCTCCATGGTGCATTGGCAAACCTGGGTAAGCAGAGCCCAGGAGTAAAACCAGTGGCAACACCACATTTTGGGAATATTACCATAACCTCAAGGGGTTAACATTTGCATAAGGAAAAAAAGCCACACAGCAAACCAAGAATGATTAAACTGAAGCAGGACTAGCAGGTGAAGCTGTGGGCTAGTGTGAAGTCCTAGTAGAATGGTGCAATGCCAGCCAAAATGTCTGAGGAGAGAGCAGCAAAAGCCACTGCAGGGCAGCAGCAGGGCTCCAGCTGGGACATGTATAAAATGCTGCTCTCCAAAGCCATCAAGACATTTTACTTCACAGAGGATCAAGCAAACTCAGCCAGTACAAGCAGTTTTGACCATGCCTACCGATGCCCAAGAGGAAGAGCATGTGTCCAGATGGTCATATCTGTCTTGCCACTTTTTCAGATGAGTGTGAAAAGGACATCCAAGTCTGAAATCCTGTTAGGAATATAATGGCTGGTTCCTTTCAGCTGCCACCTCGGTCAGAAGGCAAGAAAAGGCTAAGACAAGGGGGAATAGGGCAGGAAATAATTTCCCTCTAAATTTAAAACCTGGCTTGGCTTCATCTGTTTAGAATCCAAAGCCAGTGGACAACAATTTCACTCAGATAAAAAGTCAGAGACTTTTAATTTTCAGGGCGTCAAGCCAGCATGTTAAAATGCCAAAACTGTCAGCACCAGCAACAGTTAGCATTGCCTCCTTGGCACTTGTCATTACTTTGCACACACCTTTTTAGGACAACCTTAAAATGAGAAGCTTTGACCTTATTATTTTTCCCCATGTGTGGGTTGTATTATGTTTTCACAGGTCCCAGACTGCTGGAAGAAGGATTACTGAGAATAAAACCTCCAGGGACCAGAATCTACTGGGTGTCACAGCCTCCATTTACCCAGCCATCTCCTGTTAACCCTCAAGTGGAAAATTCTTTTGTGAGTGGCCTCTCCGAACTATTAGCAGAGGCAAACCCACAGGCTGCAGCCTTAAAGAAGGGCAAATACTACAGCTCAACAGCACTTACAGGCATTTTCATAATTTGACTAACAGCTTTTTACTTCAGGGGAGATCAGGCTGCTGCTGCTGGACCCCTCTGGCTCCACGGACCATGGGAAAACACTGCCAGGGACTTAGGTACTGCTGAAAAATATAAGATTACCATATTTTTTCTGCTCTTTCAGTGTAAATCACTTGGAGTATCCATTACAGTGTGCTTACGATGCCCCTGGTTGGGGTGGGGAGCAGAGCCAGACATGAAAGGAAGCACACTGTAGTACCCCACTCCTCCATCCTCAAAGAGGGAGGATGCCCCACCCACATCTGGAGAGATGGGAATGAACCCTGAGAAGAATGGCTTAAAATTCACATACTTGTTTCTTCTGCATTTCACATCTACAGGACAAGGCTGATGCCAACCCAGCATCTCATCTTCCAGATCACTGACAGCAAATAACAAATCCCAAAGTAACCAGTGGCCATTCTCCATGAGAGAAGCTCAAATTGGAAGAGAATGAGAGCTGCAAGGCAGGAGTGGGACAAGGGCAGAGATACTGTGGGGTGCCCTGGACTGGGAGGGCTGCAGGGCAGGAGGGATACAAGGTCAGAGCTGGTGTGGGAGATTTTAAGTCCCAAAAAAGATACAGTGACAGAGCGAGGTAGAACAGGCTCGTGCAGAAACAGCTTGCACCGAGGCTGTTCTAGTTAATTGCTGTCAATCCTTCACTTCATGACAACTGCAACTCACATTAATTTAAATAATAAGAAAGACTGAGACATGAAAAATAGATCATGCTCCCCCAGCACAATCACTGTTGCTCTCCAGATGAAAGCAGGTGATTTGTTTCCACAAAAACACCCGCTACAGCAGTTATTACAGACCAGGGGCTGCACACGCGAGGCAGCGAGGAAACCACAAACAAGCAAACACACAAACATCTGCTGCTGTTATCCTTGCCTTTTATGACTAAAGCCCTTCAGAGCTCAAAACTCCTCCTGAGATATTACCTGGGATCGTGTGGGTGGGTTGGATCAGTGTTCTGATTCAAGGCTGTGGAAGGAGGCAAAGAGCAGTGTACACCCCTAATGTCAGTAAATGAATGAGCCCAAAGACTAAGAGACACGAGTTCACATGCAGCAGACAAGCTCCTTAGTGCCTTTCCAGGAGTGCAGTGGGGATGGAATAAGAAAGCATCAAGGCCACCCTTTCTAAAGGACCGCTTCTAGAGATCTTCGCCTAATGTTGTTTATGCTGAACCTGACCCATGCCACAGCTCCCAAACAGTTCAGATCCCTGCCTTTGGATCAGAGCACCTAGACACAGCCCAGGCACAAAGTGGCA